TAAAGTTTAAAAAGTCCTTGCCACATTGTTTTCAGGAAAAATAGAAAACCTATTTTTGAACGTCATTTAAAAGGTCAAGGGAATTTTTTTTATTCAACAAGACTACTTTTCCTCGAGATATTAAATTTTGTCACAAAAAAGTTCGCTTTTCCTCACTGTGCGACACAATATGAACCAACTAACTAATTTTTCATTATCACAATTATTTTCACGGTTCGAGTTTATTTTTTAAATTCCTGTTGTCCGAGTTTGCTTTGCAGCCACTGTACGAGTATTTTGTACTGGCATATTTAATTGATATTTAGCTGCATAAAATAAATGATGATGTACCAGCAAAATGTTGTTTGTCTTTCGGGGGTGGTTTGTCAGCAAGTAATTTCCGTTAATGTACAAAGATATCAGATTTACTCAAGCAAATTTTGGTGGTATGTAATTTCATCAAGCTGCTAGACCCACCCAAATTTTTTGTTTGTGCAACAGAAACCTAAAAAAAAAACCAAAATAGCATTAAGCAGACTACTTGGATGATTCCAATTAAAAAAATGAGAAAATGTTTTTGGTTTTTTTTTTGTATTGTACTTAAATCAGTTTTGCCATAAAAAAATTAGTAGTGCAACAATTGCCAACACATAATTCCTAGGCTAAATGGCACCAATAAAAATTTATATGTGCCAAAAGCAATACATACAAGAAGTTAGTAGAGACTATGTCAGCATGCTTTTTTGAAATGTCGTAAAGTTTGCCGTTTCTAGGCCAATTATTAAATTTATTGCGCGATGCACATATAAATACAGATGCGTAGGATACGTTAAAAAGACTTTAAATATTCGATCTCATATCTACAAAAGAGTTCTATAATTTTATTAATATATACATACACACATGTCGATATACATTTGCACGTGTTTGTGTGCACATTGCAGAATTTATTAAATCACTGCCAAGAACCAATTTTATTGTGCGCCAAATATGGATTTGTGCGAATGCCTTAACCCGGTTTGAATGCAGAGAATATCATGACAGTGTGAACAGGCTAATAGGGTAATAAAAGAAATATTATTTCTACTCACAGGAGTACTATAGATAAAGAGTTATAAAAAGCCCTTTGAATAATGAAAAATTACTCGGATGACAATGAAGTCAATGACTTATACATGATAAGCCAGAGTATAAAATGTGTATCATTCGTATATAAAAGTTAAGCAGTGATGATAAGCAGTATGGCTCCCGCAAACAGATAGTTTATACCCAGAGTTGGTAAATGAATTTATAAGAAACCGTGTAGCTCTATAATTTGAATCCTATTTTTCGACAACATTCGATTACTATGCAAGTCGATGGCCCGGGCTACTTCATCTCAATAGGCCGATGGCCGTCAATCTATCCTATCTTGAAGGCCGTGCGAAAGACTACCTTAACTCGATCAACTATCGTTAGGATAGTGTAAAGTATTCTAAAAAGTTAGTACAGTTCATCGTGTTAAGGTAGTTTTTCACACGGCATTCAAGATAGGTTAGATTGACGGCTATCGATTAAAAATTAAAAATGACGAGAGAAAATTGCAAATAATTAAATAACGATTTCCTTCGTAAATTGAATTTCTTAATACTGAGAAGAAGCAAACGAAATCACAATCCTCCGGAGATGGCCTTTATTTCCGAAGCAATGTTTAAAGATGCCGTCTCATGGATCAAGGGCTGTGGATTCGGCTGTGCTAGGCGCGTCCACAGTGAATGTCAAATAGAATTGTTGGTCACCAAGAGGCAGCATGGAGGCTCGCTCAAAGCCCTGCTGGGAGGAGATAAATTTTGATCATTATTTACGTATATTGCTAAATAAGATGGCACAGCGTTATAGAGAAAGATAATTGGCAAGGAACTGTGTCTCGACCTACAACCTTCCAAGAGAGTTGACGGTATACATACCAATGACCATCTTGCTCATACAAATCAATTACCAATGCACCTGTAAAGCCTTCCATCCACCGCCATAACACCTGGCTCTCAGGAAATGCCGGTCTGTGCTCTTAAGTTTGAACAGTAAAGATATGTCTTTCCTTATAGGATCTTAATCGTGGTTGCAAGATAACAGGAAAAGAAGCAAATGTGCAACACTATTTATTTTCAGAAATCCTTTCAAACCATGGTAAAATTTGCGATCGTGCTATATACGCTCCATGATTGCTTTAAAAGTTTTGTAACAGTAGTCCACGTAGCACATAAACATTTTCTTTCACACACACATAAACTTTCATGTAAATCTGTGCGTTGGGTAATCGCTTACACACTCATTTGGCAGATTCATTATCGGACAGTTTTCAAGTCCAGTCAAACAAAGCTAACGGAGCCCTTAAATGTGCCATAGACCGTGATGGTCATTTAAGCCTAGGCACTTAAACGTGCACATTTTACAATTACCCTAATTTTTAGTTGCAATTATGTAATTATACTTTGCATTCAAAGAAATTCATTCCGCGGAACATTTTAGGAATTTCTGGCGTCTGATGATTATGCACTTTAAAATACACATTTTTATATGTATATACAAAAGAAAACGAAATAAATTCATATGTATTCGCGTGGGCCGAAAATCCGCCTTTTAGAATTCTGATTGGTAATAGCACAAATATGGTTCATTATGCTTTAAAAAATATCTGTGTGAAATATGAAAGTTTTTGGTCAATATCCTAGGCTTGCCCAAGTCCATCAAAATTCAAGTACTAAAAAATATTTGTTCTTAGCTAACTTCGATTCTCTACAAAAAAGGTTCATATACCTAATTATGTAGGACAAATACTTTAGAAGATTATTGCAATTTTAGTAAAAAATGTATTACTTAATTTATTTATTAATTTTTATTTTTTGGGCCATTTGAACTTTGATGGACTTGCGCGAGCCTAAGATATTGACCAAAAATTGTCATATTTCGCACAGATTGTTTTTAGAGCATAGTGAACCATATTTTTGCTATTACCAATCAAAATTCTAAAAAAGCGGATTTTCGGCCCACGCTAATGTACATACATACATATTTGCATTTACACGAGTTGTTTTTCAGTGTCACTTCCTTATCTCGGCACAAAATCTATCTCTTGGAACGGATACGCTTCAATGTACCCAGGCGCAATTTTCGAGTCTCTTATCCATTTTACTTGGGAAAAGTCAAGACAAGATTTTCCAGTAATGCTCCCTTGGCGAGATCTATGCGAGAACTTAATATATTATCGGAAAGAATCATAATTGATTTCTCTATGACAAAACAAGCTTTTTTAAATCTCCTTCACAATACTTTGTAATGTTAATATTGTACTAGCATTAGCAAAACCATTTATCTACTAGTCTGTATGAAATATTGTTTCATAGACTAAATCAATAAATAAAAAAATAAAAAAAATGCTACAGCATTCTTCTTGCATTAATTTCAATCAATGCAGTTCCAGAAACAAGTACAATTAAAAATAAATTAATTCTATGAATAATTTTAGACTTAACACGTTTATTTTGGCGAAAAAGTACCGATATTACTGATTTTTTTTATTTTTACTATTTTTATTTTTACTAATTCAAATAGAATTTGCTTATTAGAGGCAATGGACGCTGGCATCAAATAAAACATATCTCCGAAGTTTCGAAAGCGTACCACGAAATAAAAAAGGCAGCATGCAGAATATCCGCTGCAGATACTTATTTTGCAACTTTTGCAATTTTACTTTTTTTACCTTCCTTTTATTAGCTCGGGATGTAACTATGTAATATTGATGCGCCTAAAAGATGCAGCGATTTCTATTCTCAAGTTACATACTTGCTGATGACAGTACGAATGGCAATTATAATAGGGAGGTTTTAGTTTTTTAAACTATAATTTTTTTATACCTTTCATGAGCATAAAATGGTAATTATAACTTTGGTCCGATGTTTTGTGTACCAGAATAAGAAGAGATAAACCAATTAAAATGATCAGAACGCCAAGCTGAGTCGATTTAGCCATGCCCGTCTGTCCGTCTGTTTGGCTATTTTATAAATAATAATACAAAGTTTACTGAGAAAATCGTCAAAATCTATGCTGTATATGCTTTATCTCCTATACCACCGATTGTTCAGATACCAGTTTTTGCGATATATCTCCTTTATGTAGGAAGCTAAACCCATTAAATTGTGTTAACGGTTTACATACTGATCACACAGCAATGAATATTACTTAGATTGGTGCTATATAAGGTATATCCATAGCTCTGATTGTTTAGATATGATTTTTTATATATGTAACTCCTCTATCTGATGTTCGTGAAAGGTACGAAGCCTTCGGCATAGCCGAAGACAGCGCTGCTCTTACTTGTTTTTAATTGTAATAATTTAAGATACTTCAAAATATTAAAATGTAAATGAAAATGTTCTTATTGCCAAAAAAGGAACGAATCTAGTGTAATGAAATTAGTGCGTGACTAAGTGGAAAAAAATTACATTGAGTAAAAGATGACTATGATTTGAGAAACTAAAATTCCATTTTTACAATTTTTATTGGCACACTCGAAATTCGTTCTGAAATCCTTATACATGAAGAAAGTAATATATGTATATGTGCATAAGGAATGCTGTGTCAAAAATCTTGCATGCCAATATTTAATTACTTTTAAATAATATGACTTTTAAGTTGAGGCGTACGAGTAAACGTGCTAGATGACAGCTAATGGTGCTACGGGGCGTATACGTTACATACGTAACTACAATCGGGTATACACTCCGTTGCATAATTATAAATCCAGTGCAAAAGTCTTTAAAAAAAAGTTTGTGAAATGACACAAACGGCAATAGGCAAATTTGTGTTATTCCCGAATTGAATCTGAAAGAACACAAATTTTCTTTAATTCATTACAAATTCCAGTTGATAAAGACCCGTATTTAATTTTAATATTTTGTAAAATTTGAGTTTGTGTAAAAATGTATATATCCAAATATCAACTTAACTTATCAAAAGCTTCTTTCTTTTGTTCTCTTTTTCAGATTTTTGATGTTAAAAAATCAGCAGCAAATCTGAAAACGGACATCTAGACGTTTTTTAGTTTTTCAAAACTCGAACAGAATGGATGAGGACCACGACGACGACGTAATATGAGATCAGATGGGGCTGTAAAGCCCCAGAATAAAGCTTTCGTCTCCACTGCTGCTGGCAGTCGTAGTAAAGACGCTAGAGAACACAATTCAAATGCTAGCAAATGGTGTGAGCACCAACAACGTCCGTCTCAACTATTGTTATCGCTTCAAATTATCACTGTTGCTGCCGCTGTCTTCACAACTGCCGCTTGCGCTAATGCTTTCGTGATCGCTGATGCTGCCGCAAATGTTGCCATTGCTGAGGACCGAACAGTCATTGTTGCACTGCGGCCCATATCGAGTATTAGCGAAAAGCGTTTGGTAGAGCAACATATATACAACAACAGCAACTTATCGTTAAAAACGTACACGAATAAAAATGAAAATAAAAACAAAAATAATTATGATGCACGCAATTGTTATGAGCTGATGCGAAATGATCCAAACAATCGCAACGCTATAAATTCCGAAAGGAAAAACATTATAGAAAACTTCAAATGTGTAGTTTATAGAATTAATGAAAATCTAACTTACTCTACGAAAGCTTTAACACAAAATAACGAAAACACCGATTTTAAGAATATTCATCGTATAAGCGAATTGCACAGCAACGTTGACACAATGACTACGGTTGCTAAAGGTGCAATTTGGGCCAATCGCAAATTGGGGCCTGATTCAACTGAAAGACGTATGCCAACAGAGGGCAAACACAGCATGGATGGCGCCACAACTAAGGCNTCAACTGAAAGACGTATGCCAACAGAGGGCAAACACAGCATGGATGGCGCAGCAACTAAGGCCGACGACACCAATTACAATTACAATGCATTGCCATTTCTAACGGTCTTCTGGTTCACGGTCTGTGGATTTGCAACTTCGTTACTCAATATTCAAACGTACGCTGCAAAAATGCTAAGCATACCGGAGGCGCTGATGCTGTATAGTTGGGTTAACAACAATTGTGATAAACGTCAACACAATGCAGGACATTCTGGGAGCGCATTATTGGCGCCGTCGTCGGTGGTGTTAACGCACAAGCTGTCAATAGGCAAATCGTTGCCACAGGCGCAACTTCAATCGGTCGTGCCCGCTGCTAGAATCTCTACGTTGCTTGCCAGTCTGAGCGCTGGATCGACCTCGCAGANTGTATAGTTGGGTTAACAACAATTGTGATAAACGTCAACACAATGCAGGAGATTCTGGGAGCGCATTATTGGCGCCGTCGTCGGTGGTGTTAACGCAGAAGCTGTCAATAGGCAAATCGTTGCCACAGGCGCAACTTCAATCGGTCGTGCCCGCTGCTAGAATCTCTACGTTGCATGCCAGTCTGAGCGCTGGATCGACCTCGCAGAAAATTTCCGCAATAAACCCACGTCTTTCTTTCACAATTTCGTATGTGATGTATGCAGCTTTTATTATTTTCCTGTTGCCAGCAGTTCGTAGTGAAGAGGGCGACAATTTCTTCGCAGTTAACACTTTTAGTATGATTCCCGAAACGACTACGCCTGAATTTGGTGAGTATTTATTCTACAAGGTTAAGGGCTATAAATTCAGACTGCACATAAACTGTAAATAAAAAAAAAAAAAAAACGCTTTCATAGTAAATTAGTTATACTACTCATCTGAAAATGCAAAATCTATCTATCGATTTTTTTCTGATACTATCTNTTTGGTGAGTATTTATTCTACAAGGTTAAGGGCTATAAATTCAGACTGCATATAAAATGTAAATAAAAAAAAAAGAAAACGCTTTCATAGTAAATTAGTTATACTACTCATCTGAAAATGCAAAATCTATCGATTTTTTTCTGATACTATCGAATGACAATTTATACGTTGCACTACTGTTTCACATTTTTAAAATAATTACATATACCTTGTGCTGCAAAAGCACCTGCCATTATTAAGGACGTGTTAAGTTTCCACACTACACAAATAAGCCTTTGTGTACTCGCCTAATTAGTGTTGAAACCTTGATTTTCATACGTGTCAAATTTGCGAGCAATCTGTCAATTAGACTGCCTTACAGCAGCTTTGTGTTTGTAATTAGGGTAGACGAGCGAATGTTGCATACTGATACCATCGATGAACTTACTGAGCTCACACACATTGATAGAGATGAGTGTAGTGCAGAAATATTCCAATTCAATCCCGAGTTTGGCTTGAATAGTAATTCGACACCAAAATAATATACCAAATAATTTGAAATTTTGATTTTTATTCTGAGTGCAAGTGAATGGACAATATGAATTAAAAATGCAGTTTATTTATTCTGCGTAGTTTACTATATTGAGGTCCTTATTGGGAAAAATGGCTATATTTTAGAGCTGGATGCATGTGGCAATCGATAGTTTCGATAGTCGATAGTCACAACTATCGATAGTATTAATACTATCGAAAATAGTACTATCGATAGTTTTGATTAAAAAAGTCCAAAAATAAAACACAACGATTTTTATTGAAAATGAGATCAGATTTGCGAAAATATGTCGATATTTTTGTTAAGTAGCAACAATTTATCAATGATTTTTGACTTCAATCAGCATCTGCACTCTGAAATATGTATGTAACTGAATAATATATGTATGAGTGAAAACTATCGATAGTGATTACAAATCCATCGATGTTTTCGATAGTCAGAAATTATCAGCTCTACTATATTTTCCTTCCGTCAAAACGTTGATTTTTTAACACTGAGCTATTCAAAATATGTATGCAGCCGAAGGAACTAAANAATATGTATGTTACTGAATAATATATGTATGAGTGAAAACTATCGATAGTGATTACAAAACCATCGATACTATCGATAGTGTCATCGATAGTTTCCTAGCTCTACTATATTTTCATTCCGTCAAAGCGTTGATTTTTTAACACTGACCTTCGAATAGTCGAAGGAACTAAATAATTAAGTGCTGGTATCCGTATTCAAATTCGAGTTATTCGTATTCCTATTTGTATTCGTAGTTCATTCGTATGCGAAGTCATTTAAGCTTTTGATTATTATTTTTGTTTTGATATCCCAATCATGCTCCATTAGCATCCTATGAATCCCATCAGTCCCGATATGAAATGCTCATCACTAGCCCACTCGACAATGTACTCAAATGAAACTCTGACGGTGAACACTTTTAATCGCATGTCGCGATAAAATACTTTATGTATGTAACGGAAGCAATGTACCCATAGTTATTCATAGTTAGTTAACTTTGTTCAAAGAAAAAAGGTTAATTATAACAACAATNTCGTAGTTCATTCGTATGCGAAGTCATTTAAGCTTTTGATTATTATTTTTTTTTTGATATCCCAATCATGCTCCATTAGCATCCTATGAATCCCATCAGTCCCGATATGAAATGCTCATCGCTAGCCCACTCGACAATGTACTCAAATGAACCTCTGACGGTGAACACTTTTAATCGCATGTCGCGATAAAATATTTTATGTATGTAACGGAAGCAATGTACCCATAGTTATTCATAGTTAGTTAACTTTGTTCAAAGAAAAAAGGTTAATTATAACAACAATGACAGCATGTCATGGAAAAGTGCATGTAATAGAGAGTACACAAATTGCTAACAACGAAAAACAATAGACCCAGAGCTAAAAGAAGTAAGGTTATTATTTGCCTTTTATAACGCGATATTTGGTGCTAACGATGGGGGTGCTTTTAGAAGAGTGTATATATTTGCTAAGTACCTACATTTGAGTATTACATACATACATGCAAATACACACATTTTTTGGCAGCTTTCAAAAAAATTTCATACGCAGTGATTTAACTTGGCTGTACCATGTAATCAAGAAATTTATTTATTTATTAAAAATATGCTGTGCACAATTGTGCTTTCGAGAAATCCGCACCACACCCTTCAGTAAACATAGCTATGAACTTTACAAAAGTATAAAGTTAGTTAGCCAGTCTTTATTTGGCTACACCGAATAAGTTTTAACAACCCATCATCCTTAAGAAAAAACCGGAATTCCATCTCTGTGGACACACCAATGTGCTAAATTTGATAATGCAGTGGGTTTTGATCGTTTAAATGCAACCTGATATAGCGAAAGGATTACCCAACAGTTCGGTCGGCTTAAGAGTAGATAGATAGATAGATAGATAGATTGTTAGAGGCTATGCACTACGACCTTAGGCCTATTGTGCCCTCGGACTGCTTAAGGGTACGATAGGTCCAATATTTACTGCATTCTGAGTTTACTTTGACAGTTTTCACTTATAAGTGCGCTAGAAACTGATCTGAGAAATGTTTAGGGCAAGCGATTCAAAGCATATAGAGCCCATTTCGATTCCTGTTCTAATGCAGTAAGTGACGAGATGGCTTATAGCAGGCGTACTAATCTGCTTCATCGAAATTTTTCAGAAAGTGTAATTTGTATACCCGAGCGCACTTGTGCCCAAGGGTCGAGATAGATATGCCGTCCGTCCGTCCGGGAACACGATAACTCGAGCAAAAATTTAGATATCTCAACGAAATTTGGTATGTAGGTCGCCCTTTACCCAAGGTAGATTGGTATTGAATTGTAACCATTGTATTTGTAATTGGTTATATAACGAGCTAGAATTTTATAAAAAAATTTGTAGACTGCCATTAAAATCGGCCTAGATGTAATTTTATTTGAAATCAAAATTTAATTTTTGCTGGCTTCTACGTGTTTCCTGTTCCTATTTATGAGCAAGTCACTATTAACCCCCAAAAAAAGCGTACTACAGGTATTTTCTGAGTGCATTATTTATATATCACGGATGGCGCATCAACGCAAAATGCGTATGTACGTATGTAAATACGTGTGTGCTTATGTATGTATTGTACATATATGTATACACCGGATTAGAAAAATACTACTTGTAAACTTTCTTCTTATCAAAAGATTTGGATGTGATTATTTAAATCTAGTACACTTTTGTATATTTTGCTGTTACTTTTATGTACCCCATCCCAACTACTAATCCAACTATTAAGTCATCTTAAGCTGAACAAGTTTAAAAATAGATTGAATGCAAAAGCTGCTATTTGCGGATCACTGCAGATTTTTATCTCAGTTACCACAAAAATATCCTACTTAACTGAATTTTAATGCGCATTTGAGATGCAGCAGCAAAATAAATATATGTACATATGAATACGTATTTGTGCACATGAGTACCTACCCGGCAGGGAAAGCTACTAGTTACGAACTAGAATGCTACCAGTTTGGGTTTAAGCCAAATATATTTTTAAATGTTAGCGACTGGTTTGTTTTTTAGCATGGCGATGTCCTATGAGATGTCAATTGTCAAGCTATGCATCAGCATCTACTAGTAGAAATACAATTTTGCTCGACAGGTAGAGGATGTTTTTTTTTTAAATTTTTTAATGTATTTTATTTATTTTTCTATGTAGTTTATTTATTTTGTTGTAATTTTTAAATTTTACAGTTTTAAAAAGAAACAAAAATTATTTAAATTTAATTTATATTTATATTACTTTACTTTAATCATCTCAAAGCGCATTCGCAGCTGGGATCTCATACCCAGAATCAGTAGTCTTCATTCGACGCCACAGCCGACATTTGTGAGGAATGTAATTAACTGCAAACGAACTGGTATTTTTACAAATTTTTCACTGCATTGCATGAACTGGAATTTGTGCAGCTTTTTACTGCAGGGTGGTTTGCAAGTATGTATGTACATTCATACATACGTATGCACGAACAAGTGAGCATAGTTGGTTAGGTACATAATAAAATATACAATGCCATTGTAGCGTAAAACAATAAAGTTAAGCTATCCCTCTTAAAAATATACGCAAGCAATTGTATGAGTATATAAAATGTCGTTTCTTATACCCTGTAGGGAAATCTAGTGGCACAATCTCTCTCGGCTGAATTTGAAACTACTTCTATGTATTTCCTTTTTATACATATTTATAAGCAGATTTAGAAAAAATGTACATTATTTATATGAACATACAACCATAGGGCATACTAAATAAATTCATTAAAATTATAAGCTATCACTGAATCATTTTATTTATGTTGAAAAATTAAGTTTGATTGTAAAACATTTTTTTTTCATGACCCACATCTGCAACTTCTTAAAACCTCAAAAATGTTCGCACAAGTACTTTATTTTTTAGAATTTTTTCGCCGAAGTGGTTGCGGGTTTCTTCCATATAAAATTAAATTAAGTTTATTCTTTATATAAAAGTTAATGCGCCAAAAAAAAAATCTAAGAAATCAACTGTAATTTTTAGCCACTTGAAACTGGCACAACATCAGACTGAACTTGAATGGGCTACTCAAAAAAAAAAATCCAAGCACTTCTAAGAAAAAGTTTAATGGACTATGAAATTGTATACATATCTACTAATAAAAATCTAATACTTCTGAGAAAAAAGTTTGAAATTTGGGTTTATATGGCTTTTGTAAGAGAATGAAAATTATTTTAACTGATAATTCTTAAATATAAATAAATAAACATAAGTGGAAAACACAAATAGCTTTGAAATGCGGTGTTATAGATATGACCGATACCGTATGTACTACATTCAAACCATGACCATATTTTAAGTAGTTGCTTCAACCTATGACACAATTGTTGCTGTTGTTCACATTCTTTGAATCGCTGATGCTGAACCTTTTTATAAATTTGACGCCATTGTTTGCCCTAGCGGTTAGCATGCATGCCACAAAATGCCATCATCATATCTTTAGGAACAACAACAAATGCATTTCAAAAACAATAAAACTCAAAAGCACGCATGCATACATTACATATGTACATACGTATGTACATATGTATATTTATGNCCAATTTTTTAATGATTTTTGGTGAGTTGTAATTTACTGACATTAAGATGGTACATTAGGATGCGTAAACTTATTTTCGCGGTCAACTATGTATGTATGTATGCACATTCCCCGAAGAGTTTTGGGGAAAAATGAAGCTGAAGTGACAGTCATTGGCTAGGTATAAATCTGTGTGTACACGTGTCTAGTGACGAGATGCTTTATATTTTAAGATCCGACTACGATGGCCAAAAAATTTTTCTTTTCAAAATTGCCTTATCAAAATACTTTGGTTTCGGGAGTGTACGTCAAACTTTTTCTCGGTACGGTCTAGTGTATATACATATGTACATACGTACATACATACGTACGTAGTAGTATCTACATAAGCTTTGCGTAAAGTACCAGTTAGTAGTATTCGGGATCACTGAGATGGTGTTGCCCTTGTTTTTAACTTTACTATCCACCATCGATATGTTACTCATACCACGTGGTGCACCTGACTTTTCCACTCTGGCTGACACAGCTTTGTACTTTAGTAAATGCACATAAAAGAAACCGATATACTGGGATTTATGATATTCTTCCCAACGCCCTATAGAAGTAAGGTCATCATAAAACTGTCGGTCGGCTGCTACTTGAGTCTGATGATTCAGTAACGAGCACACTATCTTCAAAAAAGCCACAACTCAAAAACAGATCCGAAAATATGGTACTGATTCAACGAAATTAATATAAAATCAGGTAAAACAGTAGTTCTATAGTTATTGACTTATGTAAAACGAGTCGACCAACATTGTTTTTTAGCTGTGCAGTGTGTGTATTACAAATAATAATTATAATAAAATAATAATGAGTTCATTGGACTATTTTGTTTCAAAAATGCATATAAGGGAAGTCCTTGTTTTTAAACTTTGACTTTCTTTCCGTTTTATTAACATACAAATTGGCTATGCCAAATTTGAGCTCAATCGGATAGGTATAAAAGGCCTGCATTTTCGCTGCGATATAAGAAGAAATTTTGGCAAAAAGTTTGCAGATACTTCATTAAGCAAGATCGGACAATAACCACGCCTACCTCCCATGTAACGGTAATTGCCAATACATAAACTGCCATATTTATCTCTTTGCGGAATATAAGAATATTATAAATTTTTGGAAAATGGGTGTAGCCCCGCCCACTTATTATAACATATGTATAATCTGCCAATGTCTAACTAAACTGGCAGAGTTATTGCCCTTGGTAAAGCATAGAAAATGGTTGAACATTTTAGAAAAAGGACAATAGTCACGCCGGCACGCCATATAACGGTAATTTATGGAAAGCCAAAATGTGCGATTTGGAATAATTCCTTAGCAAAAAATACTGCTATAATAAATTTTTGAAAATGGGCGTGGCACCGCTCACTACTGACCCCATACGGTCCATTATTTGGCTGGCTACGTTACATTCGTAAGCATTTCTTTTACAAAATCAATCAATTGCCCATTAAAAAAAAAAAAACCGAAAAACTAAGTTTCCTAGGTGATGTGTGTAGACATGGTAAAATCTACATTTCTGTAAACAAAATTTAATAATTACTTTGGTTTTAAAATTATAGGCGTTCGGATATGTATTGGCCCGTTACACTAATGTCAGTAAATTGCAGCAGCATACCTATTTAAAATAACATTTTTAGAGCTGATGCATGTAGGTTAGAGTGGTCCAAGTTTGGTGTGGAAAAAAATGTATCCTAGTATCCTAGAAAACAGGGAACCCCCTTAGTTTTCTTCTTTTTGATATTTGTAATATCTAGACCAACTTTCAGTTTTCTACTGCAACCAATACAGGGTGCTGTGAAACTCGCAAAAGTATTGGTAATTTGTATAAAAAGCTACTGTTGCCATGACAACTAAAGCTTGTGATATTTTGATAGATAATTAAAATTTGAAATTGTTTGATTAATATATCGAGCCCAAACCGCCAAAATAACGTAAGCGACATTTTTTTCAAAATATTATTTTTGATGCAGAAATATTCCTGGAACATCTAGATACATTTCTGCATCAAAAAGAAAATTTTGAAAAAAATGTCGCTTACGTTATTTTGGCGGTTAGGGCTCGATATGTATACAATACTTCTAGAGTAAAATGTGAGCATCATGAGAATTCTCTATATGGATTCTAAGAAACGTAAGGTTTGGTACCAGCACCCCTTTCGGCAAGAAGAAAAGCCTTTCTCGGATAAAATTTATTTGGACCACTCNTTGGCGGTTAGGGCTCGATATGTATACAATACTTCTAGAGTAAAATGTGAGCATCATGAGAATTCTCTATATGGACTCTAAGAAACGTAAGGTTTGGTACCAGCACCCCTTTCGGCAAGAAGAAAAGCCTTTCTCGGATAAAATTTATTTGGAGCACTCTAATTTAGTAGGTGTCACTACTAGGCTCGGCACAAAAAAAAAATACTTACATATACACAGAGGTTTGCGGCGAACTTTTTTGAAATAACTCTACACCCATAAATATGATACACTTGCGTGCATTTACATATTGTAAAAAATTTTCGTGTTTGTGTTTTAATATTTTATTGTATAATTTGCATTTTATTCCTAGATTATGCCGGCCGAGGAAAGAAAAAGTTTGGTGATAAATGCGATGGTACATTGGAGTGTGGATTCCCTGGTTCAATTTGCGATGCAAAAAAGAAGTCCTGTCAATGCACCGAAGATTTGCCAGTGACAAATCATATCGATAAATGTGGAAAAGGTTTGTTCTGTTATCGCATTTGCGTGCCATTGTTACGTATTATTATTAATTGCAATTTAAGTTTTTTTTTTTTTTTTTAGCGAAAGGAATAATTTATTCAATCATTGGGAAACCATAAATGTGCAGTAAAGAAAACCACTTGTTTATTGAAAATTAGTCCTGGGGCTAGGTTGACCAAATTGCTCTACAATTTGTTTCTGTGTAAGAAATTGTACCAGNTGTTTATTGAAAATTAGTCCTGGGGCTAGGTTGACCAAATTGCTCTACAAGTTGTTTCTGTGTAAGAAATTGTACCAGTTCGGAAATATTCCACTTAAATGCCTTTTCCACGCAAACAATTAGCGAATTTAACACAGAGTTACAATTGATGGTGACAAATTGTTTCCTCTACATTACCCATCTGTTAGATAGGGATAACGAGTTTTGTAACCAAATAGTTCCACTTTGCTGCCCAATACTGCCTACTAAAATTTATTTTCATTCAAATCGGCTAAGCTTATATCGATGGTCCTCGACGACACAATTCAAAATTCAAAAACATAAAACTCTAGTAGTTATGTGGCTTTTGTTTCTAATCATTGTCTAATCCATGTCTTATCCTTACTAAAGTTAGTAGCAAGGACTAAGTTGCTTAATAGGAGATGTGCCAAGTTCGGTGTGATCAGTGAGAAAGATATATCCCTACTAAACATTTTTTAACGACTTTTAGTATCTCATAAATATCTTTTCCAAAATGAATATATCCCATTTCAGAGGCTGCTGTGAATGAGTCCTGTTTCTTCAACGAACAATGCGAGGTGAGACATTACCAGACCGAATGCCGCGATGGACGCTGTGCTTGCCGTTACGAAATGCAGCCTTTCTGGGGCAAAGATGGTACAGTCGAATGCAAAGGTATCTAACTTATATTCATATTCAATATTGCTTATGTACTTATTTGCACATGAAAAGTTATTGAAAATAAAATAAACAAAAAATACAGGTCGTGGCGACAAACGTGGACCGGAGACTTACATTGATCCAGCAATGATTGGCGTACTGGTAGGAATGGCATTGATGTTTGTTATAATTTGTGTCGTCCTTCGATTATTTAGCCAGTGAGTAAAATTTTCTACTTTTTTATCAAACTAAGCCCAAACGATTTTGTGTTAACGTCCACTTTATATATAAAAAAAAAAAAATTTTTGACGTTGTTATCATATAATTTTATTTGTTTGCTTATTGCAATGATAATCACCAGCACCGAGAGCGATAATGTCATTTACCGGTTGTGAAAAATATGTGTGAGTACATGTACGGTGTTAGATATTCATCTTCGTACAAAAGGTATAGAAAGTGAAGCCAAGCATAGAATACATGCTTAGTGTTAAAAAGTAAATCCGCAATTTTTATGAAGAGAGCTAGGATTGTTCTATATCGGAAAAAACACTCCTGTTTTTCACATCAAAAAACGTTATAAGGTCGCTCAAAGGGTTCAAAGTTTCTTATGTATTTTAAATGAAACAAAAAAGTACGGTGGTGGTCCCGTCTGAGGTACCACCTTTCCTTTAAAAGGAATTCAAGAAATGGGTTAACATGGTCGAAAGTTATGCATACATATACAAAATGTTCCGATGAATTGATAACCTCCTCCTTTCTTTGAAGTCGGTTAAAAAACGCATTTTAACCAAACTTCTCTTCAAAACTGATCGCTTTTCAATGCCCTTCTCCGCTGCCTAAAAGTAAGTTAAATCCCGGTTATTAAAAAATTGAAGTGGGCTGTACATATTTCGCCCAAAATTCAAACGATTAGTAAAAGTTTCTTATTGAATTCGAGGCTCCCTTACAATTTCAAAAAAAAATATCAGTTTAAGATGAATTATTAAGCTCTCAATTCGACCGTAAAGTAAGTATTATCCGATTTTTTTTGTAACAAAGCAAAATTCACCTCAGCTAGTTAATTTGAAGTCTGTCGCAAGTGCGGCTTAGTTAGTTAGTTATTATCGAAAATTTTAGACTAAAAAGCAGCAAGCGCACATACCAAGCAGCCCTCTTATGTCATACATATATGTATACCGTCACCTGAAATGCAAAATAACGTAACAACATCACCACTGAAATGGAAAAAGTCGTGACTAATTTTTTCATAAAACGATAATGAAATCCATCATGGCAATCAAAAAGTAAAAATTTTGAATTTTTTATAAGTTACGAGTTTTTGCATTTCTGTGACGATATGTATGTATGTACATAGGTTACACTTAATGTTAGTAAAAGCATCTCTCTCGGGCGGCATGTTGGATCGATATGCTTTTTGTGGAGTCTTTAGATGTTAACCTTGTACGTTTCACAATATCTACACATAACATAAAACATAACATAAACATAAAATATTTACATACATAATTTATACATTTTAACTATGGTTTTGTAATAAGATAGCTAAATTGTAGGGGGCGCAGAAACAAAGGTTCCCGAAAATTTAGGTGGACTTTCTTAAGTGAAGCCATACCAAAAGTTCGCTTTTGTGTCGAGGTTCGAAATTTAATAGCGTATTAAATTAGATAAAAGTTTTTTAAGTGAAAGTTTAAATGGCTAAGAATTTGCGTTGATTTCCGCACTTTTTTTTTTGCTGAAATTTCGAGTACACTTTATGCATATTGAGCCCTAACCGCTGAGAAACTTAAGCGACATATTTAAAAAAAAATGTCACTTACGGATTGTTCGCAAAATCGTAGTCAAGAGGTCTCTTATAAATTTTTAAATTTTATTAGCTTTCATACAAAAAAAAAGTTATAAATTCGATCGAAAAATTAAAGCAAAGACCACAAAAATATAGGAATATGTATTTGTTTATGTTTGGATTTTAGATTTTCAACTTCAAACTAATTATAAAATTATCTACTGAAGCATTTTTTGGCTATTTTTCGAATTAATAATAAATAATTTTCAACAATTTTATTGTGGAAAACAAAAATAGTTTACAAATGACAGAAGTTATATTAGAGTTCATTATTATCTTTTCCAAATAATTCGTTGCAAATTATTTTATATATTTTCTAAGATTTTTTTTTTTTTGGCACAGTTAAGAACGGGAAAAAAGAGGGTTAAGCTATATAAAAACTATTAACTGATAAATTCTGCTTTATTTATCGTGCCTTCTAAAATAAGCTCCATCTGCGCCTTCTACAATAATAGGCCCCTTTATAATGGGTAGTTGTACGTCAATAACGGAAGAGTATCCGATGGAAGTGACGTAAGTAACGTTCCTTGGTTGCGNTTCTACAATAATAGGCCCCTTTATAATGGGTAGTTGTACGTCAATAACGGAAGAGTATCCGATGGAAGTGACGTAAGTAACGTTCCTTGGGTCCGTTCACGCAATGGTTGCCAATCTGACGCTCCCTATGCAAACACACATAATCTACTCAACTGTCAGTTTCATCCTTGAGCGGAACGTACGCAAAGTATCCATTCTGACTGGGCCATAAAGCTTTCGCGTTGTTGCGCGACAATTCAGTGTAGTCAGTATTTGTTGCAAAAGTTTTAAAGTCTGCATTGTGCTAAATAGTATATAACTTATCATCAATCATTGTCATTTTTTCTCTCTTTATTTTATCACAACGCTAAGGATGCTCAAGATTTACTTGTAATAAATTAAATGCAATTGCTTTAAACATTTATTTCTATTAAAAATGTTTAACCACTTTCATAATGCGTATTACTCGCTTAAATTTCGTTAATTAAGCTCGATTTTGTTTCTATTTCTTTTGATTCCCCTTTTTTTCATATGCAAATATTTACGATTTGCATTTCTTATTATGCCGCTCCATTTGAACACCTCCCGTTTCGTTTCGTTGCCATCTGGTTACCAACACTCGTTGTCAATTACACAAAATACGCCAATAATAAACATTTACTCAGGGCACGTTGGCGTGAAAACCGGACAATTTTCAACACACCAAATCCGCGTCTCATGAATGTGTCGCTTTTGCGTGATAGCAAACTCTTGCACGGCCAGGAGCGACGCGGCTCGCGTATGTCGGTGCGAGCACCGTCGCGCCAGCCGAGCATGGCTTCGCTACGTCCGCATTCGCCGAATCCGNAAAGTGCTCTTAGTTTTTTTGTATCTTACAACACTTTGTGGATGATATTTTTTATTTTTTCTAATCATCATTGCGTTAAGAACATTTTTAAGCTGACTACATTCAATATTAAAACCAGTTTCACGAATGTAATTTAAGTGAAAAACGATTTTGTTTTAATTATTTGAATTTAATATGAAAAAGTGACAGCGGCGAGAAATCAATTTTCATTTAAATTGCTTGTGAAACCGGTAGTTAATGTTGGTTCGTGTGTATGTAGCCCATCATTACGTTTTTTTTTTCATTTGATTCATTGCTAGTTTTGCCTTTTTTAAACTTTCTTTTCGCTAACGTTACAAGGACCTTAAGAAAGTTGTATGTTTATTAAAAAAAAATTTTTTTTTGGCCCAACGTAGGGGTTGGCTTTTTATATTTTTTGTCCTATCTTCGGCATTTACAGTCCTACCTTAAGCTTTATTATATCGATGCGCTTGTCCAGAGGAGATCATTTTTTGCTCTGAAGTACATTGATCTCAAGTACCGCGTTCTAGTACTTAACCACCAGATCTGAGTTCTTATCACTCTAACGTACCACCCTAATGCCATTAAATTGAAGCCCAACAATAATCATTAACTTCGGCTAAAGAAGTATTTCGATCGTTTCAGTATAACTCGTTAAAAAAATGCTTATTGCCCAACGAAGTTGGTACCGAAAAATGTAAGAAGGCGGTAAATTTTTTATTTTTTTTTTTTCGAAATTGCCTTGAACAATTCTTTGAACGCAAACGGCAAACTTTGTTTGTTAGATTGTAAGGTGGTGCGGTCTAATGTTCATACATAACTATTCGTATGCACTGGATTTTAGGGATTGGACTGCTAATTTTGAAAATAGAGAAATGGACATAGTCGCCTGGAAAGGAAGCTTCAATTAGTTTCGCTACTTGATTGAGTATTGATTGGGGCATTCACAGCGGTATAGTAAGTGTCGTATTGTTGTATGACGTAAATTTTAAAAAGCTAAAAATATATATAGGATTCGCAAGATACCATAAAAGTCATACTTATTGTGAATTTTCACACTGTTAAAAACAGTGGGTTGTGTTTTCTATACATTTATTTAGTCTTTTAAAGATTACGACATAGAACAATACTACATTTACATTTACGTTTTTAAGAAATTGCCATGTTTTAGTATAACTCGTCCCTTAAATATAACTTTTCTAGTGAGCTGTAATGCACAGACTTACGTTTTGCTATTACTTTTTTATACACATATATATACATTAGGCTTCCGCCAAAAAATTTCGGAGCTCGAGCTTTTTAAAAGTACAGCCAAATATCGTCTTTTTTAATAAAATAGTGGCTAAAAAAATATTTTTCTAAATCAAACTAACTCGTTAGATAGAAAAGCTTAATTTTAAAATGTCTGCATAGAAATGTTTCAACGTAATCAAAATAATTCGTTTTCTGGAGGTAAATACTTTTAAATCGATTCAGCTTAACATTTTTCGGAAATATCTTGGCGGAAGTCTTAAACTATAATAAAGACCGCCACCTTTTTTTAGGTGAGGCACACTAATATATGTACATAGCTATATGTATTTATCAATATAACCACTCACCAAATCAATTGCAAACCACATAATGAAACCCATTGGCTAATTCAATTAAAACAGATCACAAATCAAGTCGTATGACGCGTTCAAAAAGCAATACCCGTTCGAGTGATTCCCGCGTTAGCGACGTGTCAAACTGTTCTCGTCTGCTCGAGCATTCGAACACCAACGCACAACATGCACCTCACACATTTGCGCCGTACACGTCGACAACAACACACATCACGAATCTGCAATCATCACCACAGTCAATACCGCCACCAATATCCACCGCAACTGCCAACGCTAATACGAATTCGGATACCGAGTTGGAAGCGGCTATGTGCTTGACAACGCCGCCACCAGTTGCCATTAAAGCGAATAAGTTTTGAAAACATCGTCCCAAATCAAGTCTGCATCAGCGAGATAACTCTTCTCGGTATCCTATATGATTGATCTGATCTGAAAAGCGAGCAAGTGCATGGTGCGTTTACTTGAAAAAAAAAAAATAAAAAATTACTTGACTTTGATTGCTTAATGAACCTTAATGGCGTTCTTTTCGTATTAACTAATATATGTAGTCTAAGAATCCACTTAGAGCTACTCTGTTTCTTTCAATACACCAAACTACTCACAACCTGCTGCATATCTTTATATGGATATGCTTAAGCTCATAACAACGACACCACGTAGTTGTATGTATGTAGATGTAGAGTTCTTTTACCTACCACACGTACACATTTCAAATTATATTTAAAAAATAAGTATATAAATTTGTAGCTGTAGATGCGAATAACCTTTCACACATTTACACTACAAGCACTTAAATAAGTAAAAAAGTTTGGAAGCATCTGGAGAGTCTTCCAACCTAATGTAATGTCCATGACATCGGTCTAAAGGGTGGCTTAAAAATTACGAGGAAGCCTCTGGTGTGTTACTACATCATCCAAAGATCTTTAAACCAGAAAGTATACACACAGCGGGCTTCTACGGCAAACTTCAGACTAGCTTCGATGCAGCTCGAGTGACATAACTATGGCGAGACTTTAGATTTGGGCCGCAAAATACTCTAACTGTAAATCGGTTCAGTGGCTGAATTGATTAAAGTTTACTACTTAGCGGCTGATCTGGAAATCATTATTATTAATATTACCTTTTCTGACAGCTCGATATTATCACTGAAGTTGTAGGAATTTATAAATCTGAAAGAAGCCACATTTATGGCGAGGATTGTGCGAGGTCGTAGAGGGGTGCCCTGAAAGCTGCCTATTCAACCGACTGCTTGTGAAGAGTTTCGCCCTCTTAGGATATGTGAGGGACGAGGTGGGAAACTACGCAATGAGTTGTGCGGAGTTGCTTAATCTTCTCATCGATGCTCATTTCTCGTAGTTTCAGCAGAAACCTCCGATTTGGTTGAGCGTCGCCTTGGTATAGCAATAAACTCTTTGAATACCTTGAGTTCAGCGGGACCGGACGATATTACAGCTCCCCGGTTGCAAAATACGGATGACGGAGAGACTGGGTAGGGTGGCGTTTACATCACAGGCCGGCAAGCTATCAAATTTCTTCCAAGGGTTTCAGGTGAATCAGGCTATTCTTTTTTCTTAAAGGTTTTGGTAGGCGTAAGTTGGTAGAGCAGGCCTCCATTCATAAAGACTTCACTCTGGGGTGCCTTTACCGATGTCGAAGACTTTACACAATATCCTTCCGGGTGTAATCGGCAGGTCCTTATATGAGCTTGAGCNGGTAGGCGTAAGTTGGTAGAGCAGGCCTCCATTCATAAAGACTTCACTCTAGGTGCCTTTACCGATGTCGAAGACTTTACACAATATCCTTCCGGGTGTAATCGGCAGGTCCTTATATGAGCTTGAGGCGGAAACCGACCTAATCATACCCCAAGCTCTGCGATAGATCTGCTGCGGTAGACTGCATCAGTGCTATTATCCAAAGCAGGGTCGTGCGGTCGTAAGCGACATGTTAGAGCAAATGAACGTCTACCGTATGATTTTCCATAGGAATTAATATCCCTTATGCTAACGAATAACTCGAACTGTTCAATAAAATAAATACTGGTTAAGTGGATTACCGGAATATTTTAGTCCTAATTGAATGGATGATATTGCAGTAGAACCAAGAAATCTCTTTTCTGTAGTATCAAAATAAAGTAAACAGTCAATTGTGCGTTCGTACTTTATGCATATGTTAATAAATAGGCAGCCACCCTAACCTAACTTAACCTGTGCCTCGGCTGTTTTCCCCAAGATGAATTAGGTTTGAATAGAAGGATGCAGGGCTTCTTCTAATTCACCCGCCATTTTCAGACAGGGCATTCAATATTTGTGATTGTCATGTATCTATTAACTTCCNAAATAGGCAGCCACCCTAACCTAACTTAACCTGTGCCTCGGCTGTTTTCCCCAAGATGAATTAGGTTTGAATAGAAGGATGCAGGGCTTCTTCTAATTCACCCGCCATTTTCAGACAGGGCATTCAATATTTGTGATTGTCATGTATCTATTAACTTCCAGTTGAACATCGGCTAGGGACCTACAGACAGAAACTTGAGTTCAATTGTTTAATATGATCTCCTTCCAAAGGCATTCGGCGGATGCTAAGGTAAGCTTGGAGTTGCTCTTCAGAAGAACTTTTACGACGGAATGGGCCAGCGCTAGCATCCAGTATAGGGATACGTCACATAATTAGCATCCTTACTTTGGATTGTGAACGACTTGGTAGATTTTCTGGAGAGGAGATGTTAGATACCGAATGATTGCCAGCATCTACATACAAAAGGCATCCGTGAAGACCGTGATGAATTCATTCAGCATTAAAATTACAATACAAATTTCCAACAAAGCTAAAGTCATAAATCTATGTATCTACACGCCCGGTTTAGTAGCATTTAAAAGTTGGTATTAAGTAGTTAAAAAACAAATGTCTATTTAGAAACTAATGCTGGATTTCCACTAGGCATTAAATGGCAACAATTTTAATGACAAAGTTGGGCATTTAAAAACATTCGTGTCAATGCCAAGTGGAAATGCAGCATTACCCATACCACATTAATGTAAAGTGAAAAATTGTTAGACATTTCTAAATAACGAACGGATTGAACTTATGAATGTATGTATGTAAGTGCATGAAATATGACACCCTTTATGAATATGTTAGTCATATGTATGTATGTAGCTAATAACTAGACTCCGACGCGTGTAATAATATACCCCTTAGTGATGTTAACTAAAAAAAAACGAGTTACGTATTTGTTTTCATACCGNGATTGAACTTATGAATGTATGTATGTAAGTGCATGAAATATGACACCCTTTATGAATATGTTAGTCATATGTATGTATGTAGCTAATAACTAGACTCCGACGCGTGTAATAATATACCCTTTAGTGATGTTAACTAAAAAAAAAACGAGTTACGTATTTGTTTTCATACCGAAGGTACTGGTAAACCTCTTTTTGCGTTCATTTTAAGCTTAGAGAGTTTTGCATATGTTTTGTTGTTTTTAATTTCAGTTGCGTTCACAACAGCATATTTTTCTTAATATTTTGGTTAAGCTTTAGATGTGCTTCGAATATACCTACTATAAAATTATGCCCAAACTCAGGCAAATTTCAGAAATATTTAGACCAGGTTTAAAAAAAAATTGCTGATTTTGGGTATTACTTTATTAACAAAAAAAAAAAATCAAAATATGTGTAAATGTACATACAACTGCTAATTGTAAATATCTAAATAAAGTGTATATGTGTTACATATACATACATAGTATGTAATATTTACTTGTCTTGTACAATAACTAGCAATTCCTTACATTTAATATATCAACTTGTAAATGTATGAATATTTTTGTGTAGTAAAAAGTATAAGTAGCCCTTTAAAATGAATGCTGCAGATTTTCCACTCTTACTAACACTTATTTTATCTTCTCTATTTACCTATTTGAAAAAAAAAAAATTGCTTTATTCTTCAATGCGAGCAGGGTCACATTCGGGCAGCGCCAGCGCCAGCAACGCGTCAGCAACGTCGATACGTTCGACGCGTAGTAATTCGGTGGCACCCGGACTTGTAGCTAATAGTGGTCAATTGGAGAGGAAGGGCTCCCAATATCACAATCAGAACCAACACCAACACCAACAGCATCAGCACCAACATCACCAGCAACAACAGCAACACCAACAACAAATGCCGCTAATCACCAACATCACTGCTAATCCAGCAGCTGAGAGTGTTGCGGTCGAGATAATAGTACCGGAAAAATGAATAAACATAAAAAAAATAATAAAAAATAATACGATAAATAATAATTAAAAATAAACATACAAATATATCTACATACATACATGTGTATATACTCNTGTTGCGGTCGAGATAATAGTACCGGAAAAATGAATAAACATAAAAAAAATAATAAAAAATAATACGATAAATAATAATTAAAAATAAACATACAAATATATCTACATACATACATGTGTATATACTCTACATACATACAATATATGCATGAAAAAGTAAAAGAAGACAAATCAAAGTATGCAAGTCGAAATTGCATAAAAATTTAATGCGAAAAAAAAATCATGGCTATAAAGTAATAAATATGAAAATGCACAACAAAACGAACAGTAATATTGATAATGGTAAATAAAATTTATAAAAAAATGTGTGACAAAAACTGCATTAAAATATAGTTTAAAAGTATAAATATTTAATATATTTTAACAGCAAATAACGTCATATTTAAAAAAAAAAAACTAACGCAATTACACAAAATAACTGCTTGGATATAGTAAACAAAAAAAAAAACTTGCATAACAAATTCATATTTTTATTTCTTCTTCAAAAAAACCCCAAAAAAAAATCGCTAATAATTGCAGCTTTTAACACAAATTTAATAATAATATTTATAGTCATGAATTCAGCAAATATTTGTACGGTAATATGTATGCAAGAATCGTATTTAAAAATAAGTATGCACATACTTATGTATATGCACAACAAAAAGTGTAAAATGTATAACCACAGAAATAAGAAAAATAGAAAAGACAACAATCTGTGCATAAACATTTTAAAATACTAACAAACCAAAAAATTTAACGTGCAATCGGTAGTTAAATAGAACGAAGTGTTTAGCTTTAAAGTCGAATTAAAAAAATATTACATTTATGAATATACATACAAATGTATTTGTATTAGTATATACATATTAAACCTACTAATAGAAGATTCTACAAAAAGCAAACATAAAGTCATTTCGAAATATTAGAAACGCGTAAAAAATTGAAATGAGTCTTTCGCTGACATTCATCTTCCTATCCTAGTGATATTAAAATGTAACAAAAAAAAAAAAACACAATAACACGTGCACACTCTTGCAGAGCTATCGTTCACGCCAAATTTTCTATAAACAAAAAATTTAAAATTATACAAATTTTAAAATATACATACTATATACTAATTAATGCATGCATGTACCTTAAAATCCGAGGCGGAACGCAGTACAGAAAAAACTAATGTAGTGAATGAACAAAAGAAAAAATATATATATATAATTACAATGAATAAATTCAAACATAACATAAGTTATCGAAATAGCAATGCAAAATGAGCAACTATACATAACAATAGAAAAAAAAATATTACTTACAACACTACAAATTTAACAGTACATAAATAGAACAGTTTGAAAATAGAAATATTAGAAATAACTAGCGAATTTTTCGGAAAAAATATTTTACAAAACCAATACAAAAGCTAGATGAATATTTATAGCTATTTATTTTAAAACACACGTCTTTTGCGCAAATAGGTTTTGATTTAACTTACATAGTACCAAAAAGATTCATACAAACATACATGTATATGAAAAAAAAAAAAATAAAATAAAAAGAAAGCCTAAATAAAACTATGCATGCGCCGAATGTGCACTTTAAATACTTTTATTAACAAAAACTCTAAAACGCGTACAACATGAATACTTTTTAAATATTTAGGGACTATGAATAAGATGGTATTCAAAATTTCCGTGATTTCGTTACAACTCTTCATTTCAAAGCGAGCAAAAATTGTAGCATACATTTTCCAAAATTTGATAACGTAGAATATTTTCTCAAAAAAAAAAAGTAAAGTGATTGCTGCATTAGAAATACATTCACATTTTCAAGTAGTTTACAATAAATACATATACATATGTATGTAAGCATAGTATTGAGATTAGTATAAAAAATACTTAAAAAAATAATCAAATTGCGACTTGTGATTTCTACTTAGTCTCTTTAAAATTAAAAAAAAA